ATAAACAAAAGACTGGAATATGATCCAGCAGGAAATAACCAATAACAAGGTGTTGCTTGCAGTTAATCAATCATCGACTATTTATTGCAGAACTCACAACCATTTCTCGAATGCAGCAACTGGTGAAAATATTTATTATGAGCTCGCACGATTCCTCAGATGGACATTCTCAGACAACTTCAATTTGCTGAACTCATCGGGAATTCTCGACTAATGGTTATTCCTCGAATAAATTCATAAACCAAAGTCGAGAACCAAACTAAACTAACTTGAATGCATGTTGATGTTGCTGTTGTTGTTGTTGAGAAGAAGAACATTCAGAGAGCATTATCATCGAAGTTAGTATGAGGACAATTAGCAGAGCAGATGATGAGTAACCATTGTTGATCATTTTCATCGTTTTACTCCGATGAACACTTCTGAAAATACATCCACATTCAGAGCATCAATTATGCGGTGTTTTGAAACAGAATCGAAAACAATCCTGGCCTGATGGTCGATAAACTGGATTTTCAATGAAACATTCCTATGAGGGTTGAATTCAAATACAAAGCATTTGAGGAAACTGGAATGCGCAACAGGACCACAACACATCTTAAAAATATCAAAACAACTGTAACATATTAGAAGATAATTGAAACATTTCTATGTGGGAGACACCGATGAATTTTTATGATCTCCATATGAGTCATTTGGCTCCGACAAATTCAAAATTATTACATTCCTCTTGCTGCTGAAAACAATTAATGCTAGAGAACGTGTTACCGTTCATGGTGTTAAATTTTCACTGCAACTAAGACTGCTCTTGCGCTCTAGCATCAATCATTCAAAAGCGTCCATCAATCATCATAAAAACGATGAATTTACTTGAATGTCTTTAACGTCTCAAATGATACTTGTTTTCCAGTCGCTCGGAACGGTTGCGTTGACTTGGTTGAAAAAAGGTTTCACTTCGTTAAACCTTTTTTTTCGAAAGTCATCATTCGAAATCACAATGAACTAACGATTTCTCAATTTGCTTTTGATTTAAAGACACGGAAATTTGCCGATGACATCAACTCTAATAAAACGAAGTTAACCACAGTGCTCGATTCGAAATGTTATTTTCGCCTTAAAATGGCATAATTGCCTTATGTGACGTACTGATTATATTTATATATATGCATTTATTTAGTTCACGCTCATAACCAAACTACAATATTTTGAAAGTGTCGCCATAAATAAATGTAAAATGACGAATTACTTTTGCTTTTTTTGACCAAATGTGCGAATGTTTTTCGAGTCTTTTAACCACACTGCTCGATTCGAAATGTTATTTTCGCCTTAAAATGGCATAATTGCCTTATACTGATCATATTTATATGTATGCATTTATTCATGCTCATAACAAAAATACAATATTTTGAAATATTTGAAGCTACATTATTTGAAAACAAATGTAAAATGACGAATTACTTTTGCTTTTTTTCGACCAAAAGTAGTTCCTTCTTCCATAACCTTGTTAAGATTCCCGAAAAAAATACCGACTTCACCAACAATTGTTTTTTCAGTTAATTTTCGCATCACTTGTATTCGCCGAAATCAGTCATTAATTACACTATCAGCACTTCTCTTGTGTCACATCGACGAAAATATTCAATCTTACTTCATTCAGAA